GCACTTACATGGACTTGGTCATTCGGCTTTAACGATCGGGCTGAGTATGTGGACGGGAAACCTACTTATCTGGATTTCCTTCCCTCAGGAGTAGGAGCAGGGGTGTCAGTGGGGTGCCTGTAGGGTCCTCGAGGAGATGGGGACACCTCCGCTGCTCCCACCGTGACCTCGGGCAAGTTGCTTAACCTCTTGGTGCTTCTGTGAAGTGGGGAGAAGATGGTTCTACGTGCAGAGCTGTGAGGATTAAGGGACTTTAGAGGCCTTACCACCCAAAGGCACGTGGTGTGAACCCACCAGCTGCTCAGTGGGAGAAAGGTGGACAGTCTCTTTCCCTGCGATTTACAGCCTCTGAACACTCGCTGGAGGGTCAGCTGTGAGTCGGTTCTGACTCTACGGCACACAACAACAAAAACATTATACAGAAGAGCCCTGCTGGCACAGTGCATGAAGCGTTGGACTGCTAACTGAAAGCACAGCTGAAGGCCGTCAGCTTCTCTTCAGGAGAAAGGTGGCCGGTCTTCTTTGTTTGGTTGTTGTTTTACACCGACTCAGCTGGCCCTCGAGCAGGTTTTCTGAGGAGTGAATCCCACTACCCGTCAGTGAGTCCCATTGCCCTGATGGAGGAGAATGCCCATCTGGTCGGGTCCGGCTCACAGGGACTGCTGTGGCCCAGGGCAGAGCTGTCCCGTGGGCATCCCGGCTATGGTCGTTCCTGGAGCACGCTGCCACTTCTCTCTCATGGAGCGGCAGGGGGTGTGTGAGCAGGTGACCTTGGTTAACAGCCAAGTGCTTTAACCACTGCGCTTCCAGGACTCCTGGAGGCAAATCGTAAACATGTTTATCACTTGCATGTTCATGTACCCAGGGTTTCTGGAGCACCCTGAGAGCTTCAGGGAGCTCTGGTGGCCTCATCTGTAGGGAGTTGTACTGCTAACCCAAAGGCCATGACCCTCTGCCGGCTCGAATCCACCAGTGGCTGCTTTGCAGGAGAAAGATAAGCAGTCTCGTCCTGTGTGATTTACAGTCTCAGGAGACGCCCCGAGGTGAGGTTCGCTGTGAGTTGAGAGAGGGTGGGTCTTGATGTGTGACCTGGGGAGGGAGCGCCATTCCTCCTGTGCCCTCACGGGGTGATGTGGAGTCCAGTGGCCAAGGACAGACGTGAGCTGACCTCACACTGAGTTACCCCTGAGGGACTCTAACCTGGTGCTTTTCCTGATGTGGCCTCATTTGAACCTCTGTGCAGGTGTGCAGCCTGTTGTGCTGGTTGGTTTGAAGGCGAGGTGTGTGGCTCTTAGGATTAGGTTTCCCAGGTGGGGTCACAGGCTGGTGGTGGCACCTGGTGACACCAACATTAAGAGGAGACGGTGAGCCGAGCTCAGGCTCCTGGATTCCTGCCGCCTTTGACGCGAGACTCCTGCACACAGATTGTGCTGAAAGCCCCCTAACAGTGTGGCCTCTGCTGCCTGTGGAGGCCTCAGTTTATTCCCACACATTTGTGTTCTTGGCAGAAGAGGCACCTAGTACTCGGGCCCATTTGGGACTCATCCTGTTCGAGGTGGACCAGTGCCCAGAGCCAGCTGCCCCTCAGGCTGAGGTATCCATGACATGAGAGGAGAACTGGGGGAAGGCCCCGAGGCAGAAGCAAGGCCCTGGGACACAGACTCTTGTTCCCCCTTTCTCCTTCACTTTGCCCTTTTCTTTTTTTAAGGCTCTGTGGATTCTGAATTGTCCCAGTTGGGCTGAGGGAGGCAGAGTGGCTTCACTGTCACTAACTCCCCACAAATTCCACAGCGTGTCCCCAAGACTGTGTGGGTGTGTCTGCACACCGTCTGTGGGCCCTGAGGGTACGTGAGGTCACTTTAATGGGCCTGAACTGTGCAACCACTGGGGGCAGAGGGTGGCCTCAGACACCAGGGGCCCTGGGAGGACAGCCTGGGGCTTTGTAAGATGTCCTTGGAGGGCCGTCCAGGGGTGACCGCCTTGGGAGGGCCCGTCCTGTTGCTGGTGAGAGAAGAGCCCTCAGGCTGAGAGGTGCAATGTGGGAACTGTTTGTTTCTTGGGAGATGTTTATGAAGTCCTTGGCAGGCCTGTGTGTCCCACACAGATTGTTTGGAAAGGGCGGTTCTCTGTGGGAGGGACAACTAGGTGAAATGAGAGAGTGGTGAAAAAGGACTGAGCGGGGACTCTGGACCAGCGGGCAGAAAGGGGCCAGCGGGCAGAACAAGGACCAATGGGCAGAGGGGGGCCAGCGAGCAGACAAGGAGGCCAGTGGGTAGAGCGGGGGCCAGCAGACACACAGGGGCCAGCGGGCAGAGCCCTGGGCCGGCAGGCACAACAAGGACCAATGGACAGAGTGAGGCCAGAGGGCACACAGTGGCCAGTGAGCAGACAAGAGCATTCATCAGGGGTTGTGGAAGTCCATGCATATCTGGATGGGCAATGTATTCATCTTTTCTTCATGTTGTTGAGTGTCAAGAAGGCTGTTATGGCTCAGAGCAACCCTGTGAACAATCGGACATAACACTGCCCATCTGTCTGCCATCATCGCAGTCACTGATTGTCATGTTTGAGCTGTTGTTACCAACACTGTCAGTCCATCTCATTTAGAGGCCTCTCTTTGTCACTGACCTCTGCTTTACCAGGAATGATGTCCTTTTCTAAGGACCGGCCTCTCCTGATAAAGAGTCCATGGTATGTTAGACGCTGTCCTTGCTTCTGAGGTGCAGGTCCTCTGTGACATTCTTTTGACAGTTGCCGTGGACCTGTCTTTCATGTGATAGTAATTAGAAGCCCCCTATAGTGACAGGTGAGGCAGGCTGGCCTTGGTGCCTTTGCTGGCTAAGAAGGAGAAGACACAGCTGATGTTGGGGGCACGAGAGACATCGTACAGGGTGTCATCCTGGGAAGTGCTCTTTGATGAGCAAGGCTCTGCTGACTGCACTCGTCACCAACCAACTTTAATGACTGGTCCTGAATAGTGGCCTTTAGAGCATTTGGCTGGCCTGGCTGGCACACACATACTGCCCTTCCCATGCCCGGGCTCTGGACCTCAGCGGGCAGCTCCCAGACATTTCACGCCCCCTAACTAGATGTCCACTGCAGACATTAGCCTGGGTGAATCCTAAAAGGCTGGTTGGAAGACAGAAGCCCTGGTTGGCACGAATGGTGATGTTCTAATGATTATAGGTTCGAGCAAATCAATGCTGCCTCAGAAGAAATGAACCTTACAGTAAGTCAGCAGGTGAGAGGTCACGTCACTTCTGACCCACAGCGGTCTCCATGAGTCGGGTTGGTTCCGTGGCACCGGGTTTGGTTTTGGGTAAAGGCATGCTGTGTGAGCTGAGACAGCTGGGCGAGCTCCTGCCATGAGGATCCTTTGCCTCCTGTTTTGATCATTGTTCATGCACAGGATGCCAGGGAAGGGGCATTACTGCTTTTCTGGGGCAACAAGCGACTCTGATTTTCACAGGCGTTCATGTGAGCGTGCTGAGCGAGGGGGCAGGTTCTGCATCAGCCCGGCTTCACCCCAGCTGGAGGTGCAGACACAGTCGTGAGCTTTGTGTGTGAGAGTGTGTGTGTGTGAGTGTGTGTGTGTGTGTGTGTGTGTGTGTGTGTGTGTGTGTGCGCGCGCGCGCATGCGCGCACGTGCAGAGTTGCTGGGAGGGGCACTGGGGTTATGAGGAAGTGAGAGCCTGCAAAGGGAGCAGCTGAGAAAGGCCCGAAGCAAACAAAGGAGTGATTTTTGAAAACATGAAAATATCATTACCCTCTATACAAATAAAAAAGAGGAAAAGCTAGTAGGCCTCTGCATGCAGTTCACATACGGAGACGTTGTTACACGACATTGTTGGTAGGTGCCATGTGGTTGTTCTGATGTTAGTGACCCAAGCACAACAGAAACAGCCCCACTGGGGCCTCTGCCATCCCCACAACAGCGGCTGTGCGTGAGCCCACTGCTGTAACACTCCCCCCAATTACCCTGAGGTAAGGCTGACTCATAGCTGACCCTCCACTGGTTTTCAGAGGCTGTAAATCGTATGGGAAGAGACCGTCCGTCTTTGCGTCTTAGAGCTGCTGCTGGATATACAGGTGCATATACCATATGTTGTTAAGAGAGACTCTTCTGCTTGGAAAGGTGGAAAAAAGAGGCCTCTTTTCCTTGGTCAGGGAAAGAGAGGAAGACCTTCAACCTTATGGATTGACACATTGACTGCAGCAACGGGCTCAGTTGTGCCAGAGAAGATGAGGATGTCACGGGATAGGACAGGGTTCAGGTCTCTTGTTCATAGACAGGGTCGCTATGAGTAATACTCCGCTCAGTGGGACCTAACAATAATATATCCCTCAGTGGTGCAAATGGTGGCTCGGAGTAAACACCAGGTAATCTATTTTTTAAAAAAAAATGAGCCATTTAATACCTGTTGGACACTCTGACACACATGGGTTTCACCATGCCTGAGACTCAATTCAGTGGCCCGTGTTCCTGGAATAAGCAGATTGGTCTACAGGTGTGTATAGGGATGTGGAGGTGCCAACACTTGGCACTCGGACCTGTCTAGAAGGCCACGTGTAACTTCTCTTGCAGAAGCATCTCCAGGACCAGGGCTCACGAGGCGTTGGCACAAGTGCCCCTGCTTTGTTGCCTCCACCAGTCACCGGAAGGTGCATGCAATTTTCATGGCCCCTCTTGGCCGTGGCACCAGCTTTGTGCTCTGGCGCCGTTTGTGAGCTCCTGTTCCTGTGAAAACAGAGTGTTCGCCTGAGGTGGCTCCGAGAACAAAAACGCCCGCTGGGAGCGTGTCTGGGACCAGTGTAGACATGTTGGAATCCTGCCCAGCTGCAGAGGGTGGGGAGGCGGGAGGTGGCTCGGCACCCAGGAGCTATGGTTGCATTTTCATGGAGAAAACGAGGGCGTGTAATCGTGCTTGCGTTTCCACGGTCCCCCAGTGGTGTGATTTCCCATCCGTGGGCGGTAAAGAGATGCATGTATTGTGTTTCAGGCTGTACTCAGACTATCTCTACTTTGCAAGTTCGAATAAATCTGCAGACGACTTCCACGAGAAAGTGGCCGAGGCCCTGCAGCTGTTTGAAAACTGCATGCTCGATTACTCACTGCGTGCCTGTGTCTACAACAACACTCTGAACAACGCCATGCCGGTAGGTTCCCCTGACCCCTGCACTCTGGCCTCCTGGGCTGTTGGGTTGTTAGATGCATGTAGCCTCGTGACTCAGGATTTGAGCTGTAAACACAGAGCCATGTCTTAGTGTGCAAAGGCGGGCTAGCATCACCTTGGAGAGCTGGCCAATGCAGAAGCAAAAAAACCACAGATGGAGGAACTGGGATGCAGATGGGCCCTTTCACTGCCTCGCTCCTTCCTTCCCGCTGCTCATCCAAATCACCAAGCTGCCTCCTCCTTCCGAGAGAAGAGGAGGGTGAGTTTAGGGAGATTACCATGTAGTGCCACTCGGAAAACACACCCCGCAATTAGAACTGGCAGACGCGAGCCAGGACAGCCGGCTTTCCCGTTGTCTGCAGTGTCCTCACTAATGGTGGAGTGTTTTGTTGGTTTGAAAAATTACCCACTGGGTCTCAATTGAAGCGTATTATCCATATTATCCTCGCCTCTTGCTTTCCCATCAGGAATGCGTCCATACGCCCTTGCTTTTGTACTGTTACTTCAGCTTTGCCTTGTTTCTTTTTCAAGCACATGAAGCTCTTAGTAATGAGAACTGGGGTCATTTTCTTCTGCTCGTCCCCTGCCATTGGCCATCAAACTCATTGCCATTGAGTCAGAACCAACTCACAGCTGACCTTTTGGCGGTTGGAAGCTGTAAATTGCACAGGAAGTGACTGCCCACCTTCCTTCTCCAGAGCACCTGGCGGACTCAGACGGCTGGAGAGGTGTGGCCTTTGGTTAGCATTGCAGCAGCTGACCGACTGTCCCTAGAGCTGCTCTCACTGGCCTTGTTGAGGTGTCATCCAGTCAACTGCTGCCCTGAGCGACTCCGTGAACAGCAGATCCCAACTTTGCCCTGTTCTGACCTCCTCACTCTCTCTGCCATGTTCAAGTTCATCACATCGGCTCTAACTTAGAGACCCAGGTACAAGGGAACAAAACTCTCTGGTCCTCACTGTCCACATACTCTGCCATGTTCAAGTTCATCACATCGGCTCTAACTTAGAGACCCAGGTACAAGGGAACGAAACACTGCCTGATCCCCACTGTCCTCCCTCTCTCTGCCATGTTCAAGTTCATTACATCGGCTCTAACTTAGAGACCCAGGTACAAGGGAATGAAACAGTGCCTGGTCCTCACTGTCCTCACTCTGCATGCTCGAGCCCATCTCTGCAGTCCCCATGTCCATCCATCTCATTGAAGGTCATCCTCTCTTTCAGTGACCCTCTACTTTTCCGAGAATGACATCTTTCTCTAGGGACTGGCTAGTGCAGATACAATGTCTGACGTGTGTGACGTAAAGTCTCGCCATCCTTGCCTCTCGCACATTCTGGCGGCACCTTCCAGATGGATTTCTTGGTTCTTCTGGCGCTCCACGCTCCCCTGTGAGTGCTTCATCTGTAGGGTCAGGTGCAGCAGACGAGCCTTGTGAAGTGAAGCTGGTATGGCCACCTGCCCAGCGCGTGGCTATGCTGGGGTGTGTGGGGTTAGACAAAGAGTTTGACGTAGTGGTGTAAGGCTTTCTGAGGAAAGCTGGAGTTCAAGGCCAAAAAGCTTTACTCTGTCTTTCTTGTTACCAAGGGCATCTCATCTGAAAGGCAGGACACTTGGTCTGGGTAGGATGCAAGGGGGCAGGAAATACCAGGCTGACTCGTGAGAGTTAATGGTTTAACAAAGAAATTGTAAGAGGCACTTGGACAAATGAGAAATCCTGTCAAGGAGAAGGAAGATTGGAAGTGTGGGTTCAATTCCCAGCTTGTCCATTTGTCAGTTTCTCATTTCTCCAAGGCTCTCGCGTCCTTGGCCGTGAAAGGGGGCGATGCTGCTGCTTTACAAGGTTGCTGTAAGTGGGAGGAAGTGGAGGATGATGCCTTCGTCACACTTCCCTTCGTTGCTTCCCACTTGCCTTCATTCCGTGTTCTGGGCCTGGAGCTCTAGGCTGATGGGCAGTGGGACCTCAGGGGCCGGCGCACCTGCCGAGTGAGCCTGGCCGCAGCACAGGCTTGTGCACGAGGCGGCGGCCACACTGGCTGACTGCTCCTGATGAATTTTGGAGGTGGTGCATCCTTTGTTTTCCTTCCTCTGTGGCCTCCCACATCGTTAGGCAATAATGAGATGGAGCAGGAGCACAGAGGTGACGCTGCCTGCACTGAACGTTCAGGGTCTTTGGCCAGATGTCCACAGTCTGCCATGGTGACTTGCTCGATGTGACTGGCCTGGTGACTCCCTACATGGGTGGGTAGAACTAACGGGCTGTGAGCTTGGCCTCCACGGGGACTGGTTCACTGGGAATGTAGAAATGGTGACACCTTCCAGGTCCCCAACGGACAGGGTAGAATGCTAAGGTGGGGACTGGTCAGTTCGGCTTTGCTAGTTAGCTGGCCCGTGGGCAGAAAACGGATATGTGACCGTTGTCAGAAAGGAAGAACCGAAGAGTGCAGAGTGGCCTTTGGGCCCAAGAGCTCTGCCTGAACCAGTGACCATGGGCTGTAGCAGCAGAGAATGAGTGTGCTGAAGCCTCGGGAGGTAAAGTGTAGTGGCAGCAGAGGTGGCCGGGAGCTGAGGCCAGTGCCAAACTGAGCTGCAGGCTCCTGGCCCGCAGAGGACGAAGGCTGCGTACTGTCAGCAGGAGTCTGGCTGCCCGTGAACAGATAGTCCTGGGCATTGCCAGCATGTTGACCCTCAGAGCTGGCGAGCAGAGCTACAGAACTTGGCAAGAGCTCTGGTGGCCTAGTCCGTGGGGAGCTAGGCTGTTCACATACAGGTGGTGCCACCAGCCACTCCTCCTGCGTGGTATACAGCCCCCCAGAAAGCTGCTGGACGGTCAGCTGGGAGAGTTCTGACTTGACAGCAAATTGAGAAAGGAGCCGTGTAACAGGGCCTGAGGGTGAAGGCCTGGCCTTGGGAGCTCAGATCAGAGAGAGGCTTGCCTTTAGCAAAACTGAGAAGAGGCCGTCTTTACTGGAGGGGTGCATCCTAACTGCTCCTGAACCTTCCCTAATAAACTGGGGTGCCTCCTAACTGCTCCCAAACCTTCCCTAATAAAACCAGGTGTATCCTAACTGCTCCTGAACCTTCCCTAATAAACTGGAGTGCCTCCTAACTGCTCCCAAACCTTCCCTAATAAACCGAGGTGCTTCCTAACTGCTCCCAAACCTCCCTAATAAACCAGGGTGCCTCCTAACTGCTCCTGAACCTTCCCTAATAAACCAGGGTGCCTCCTAACTGCTCCCGAACCTTCCCTAATAAACCTGGGTGCATCTTACCCAAACCTTTCCTAATAAATCCAGGTGTATCCTAACTGCCCCCGAACCTTCCCTAATAAACCTGGGTGCATCTTAACTGTTCCCGAACCTTCCCGAATAAACCCCACAATCACGAGAGTTCTCTATGAGTTCTCTGTGGCCGTGGATCAAGATTTGCCTTACAATCTGCCTCCACCATTTACAAGTGTAACGCTTTGGTGGTATTATAAGAGTAACACTTGTGGAATGCCTTCTGGTGCGAGGAGAGGAGGTAGAGTTTGTTCCTGGAATCTCATCGCTGTCTCCTTGGTCCCAGGTGAGGCTCCAGGTGGGGTTGTATGCTGTGTACCTCCTGGACTGGCTCAGTGTCTTCAGTAAAGAGCAGTTCCTCATTCTTCGCCTGGAAGACCACGCGTCCAATGTCAAGTCCACCATGCACAGGGTCTTCGAGTTCCTAAACCTTGGTATGGATGCTGGGCTGTGGGTGGGAAAGAGGGGAGTTGGCTGAGGGAGGCTAGGAGGCCTCTGAGAGGTGGGAGGGGGTGGCCCAGCTGGGGGGCTGATGTGGCACCAAGGGAGGGCCCCCACTAAGCAAGGCAAGCCCAGGCTTAGCCATCTTCCCTGCATTTACTAGTCTGCAGTGAGCAGTGTATGTGGGTTGAGCACACAGCTACTTAAACTTAACATTCACCACACGTTAGTAACTGAACAAAAGTAAGCCTGTGCACACCTTTTCCTGTTGAGGCTTCTATCTCTATCAAGTATTGGAAATATGAAAACAGGCTTTACTCTGTAGAAAGGGACCCTCGGGCTGGGAGAGAGACAGATGCCAGCCACATCTGGAAGCAGTATCTTTGATGTGGTGAGAACTGTGGAATTGCTCAGTGCAGATGAGTAAATAGACATGAGTAATCCACGCTCACCGCCCTTAGCGGGTAATCTGACACTGTTCAGCACCTGTCTCCTGAGCCTCAGCTATCCGTGCATGTGTGGGTGGGCTTCTTGGAAGAGGGAGAGGTGGGAGCTCTTGGTATCCAAGACGGATGGAAAGCCTGAGGCCGGTCCCATGGACAGACTGAATCTGGACCAGCTACCTTTTCTTGGGACACACGCTAGGCCCTCCCTCGTCTTTGTGTTCCTCTAAGTCTTTCCCCATCCTGTTGCTATTTGACAGGCACATAACAACAACAACAACATTGCTATTTGACTGTTTTTCCTTTTCTTGGTGAGCTGGTGATGCTGTGGTAAGGTCTGGACCCACCAGCCTGACCCCTGCAGGAAGGTGTGGCAGCTGCCTCTGTGAACATTGTTGTTTTGTACTGTTAAGTTGTCTGTGACTCATAGCGACCGTATGTACAACAGCCCTAAACCCTGCTCTATCCTATGCCAATCTTAATGTCTCTGACACACCTATCCCCATTACCCCAGTCACTGAATCAGTTCATCTCATAGAGGGTCTTCCCCTCCTGAGCTGTCCCTCCACCCTCCTAAGCATGACATCCCTCTCCAAGCACTGGTCCCTCGTTGTCACATGTCCAAAGTATGTCACATGAAGCTTCACAATCCTTGCCTCCAAGGAGCAGCTGGTCTCATCCTATCTAGGATGAACCTGTTTGTTCTCCTGGCAGTCCATGGTATATTCAACACTCTTCTCCAGCACCACAGCTCAAAGACATCAATCCTCTTTCTATCATCCCCAGCTTTCTGAAGCATAGCCTGGATCAGGCACACCTTAGTCTCCAGACTGACTTTGTTGCTCTTCAGTACTTTGGAGAGGTCTCTGATAGAAGACTTTGCCAATAAAATTTGTCTTTTAATTTCCTGGCTTCTAGTACCAGTAGTGTTGATTGTGGAGTCAAGCAACCTGAAGCTCTTAACAATCTCAGTCTATCGCCATCTATCATGATGCTGCCAATTAGCTTCCTCACCACTGCCAGTCAGTGGTGAGAATCTTTGTTTTCTTGATATTGAGCTTCAATCCATACTGAAGGCTGCAGTCCTTGACCTTCTGCAGCAGGTGCCTCAGGTCCTCCTCAGTTTCAGCAAGCAGGGTTGTGCCATCTGCATAATGCAGGTTGTTGATGAGTCTATCCTCCAATCCTGATGCCACACTTCTACTCATAGAGCCTAGCCTCACGGATAATCTGTTCTGCATATAGATTGGAAAGACAGGGAGATAGGACATTACACTCCTGGAAACCCTGGTACAGCCCTCTGTCAGAGTTGGAACCGATGCAATGGCACTGGGTTTGGGTTTGAGAACATGATAGAAGTGACGTCTTATTTTTCTCCTGGGTGTGAGATTAGCTTTCTGTGATCTCAGTGGTGTGTGGCTCAACCTCAAACCAAAACGTTGGGGGTTTGGCTCCATAGGGTTACTGTGAGTCGTACAGGACTCTGCGGCACCTAACACCACCATGGGCAGCCTCAGAAGAAATACTTGGAAACCAATTTCCAGAAATCAGCCATTAAAATCCCTGAGGAGCACAGCTCTGCTCTGGCCCTGGGGTGGCTTTGGGTCAGAGCTGTGACATGATGGGCTGGCCTGTGGTCCCTAGGATGGGTGGCCGTGGGTCATACGGTCATGTCATTCCACGTACTGTAGCAGCCCCAGGACTCCTCCGGGGAGGGATGAGCCAGTGGAAGGCAATGCTTCAGGGACACAGGGCCAGGTGGTGTCTGGGGGCCTCCCCCTGGGGCATCCTGGCTGGTGGAGCGTCAGGGACCTCCCCCCTCACCTCCTTCCCATGGCCGCACCACAGCGGGGGACATCAGTCACCCCAAAGCAGGCAGGACACTGGCAGGGTCCTTAGGGAAGGTTAGGAGGCCAGTCCAGGCAAAGGGACAACGTGTCTCACGGTTACCTGAGGGCCGGTGAAGTGAAGTGAAGGCCATGGAAAAGGCCTCAGCCGAGCGCCAGGCCCCTGGACGGGCTGTGCTGACCTCGGGTTGCAGCCCAAACCCACCACACAGCCCCTCTTCTTCCATGTTTGCCCTCCTTCCACCCCCAGCTCTGAAATGGCCCCAGCTCAGGAATTTTAATCTGCGAACACGTTCTTAAAGGACACTCTCGTCTTAACCGGATGCAGCTGGTGCACGGCGCCTTTTCTCACCGCCTGGCCTCCTCCGTGCCTCACTGGCTTCTGTTCCCTCTGCAGGACCCCTGAACGAGAAGCTAGAAGCCCTGATGACCAAGAGCCCCGCCTCGAACGCACGACGCCCGGAGGACCGGAACCTGGGGCCCATGTGGCCGGTCACTCAGAAGATCCTACAGGACTTCTACGGGCCCTTCAATGCCAGGCTGGCCCAGATCCTCGCAGACGAAGCGTTTGTGTGGAAAAAGACGTGAGGGCCTGTTGCTGTCCCCAGCCTGTGCTGAGGATGATAGCACGGCTGTGACTTGAAAATCTCCCTTTGCAGGGGACTGTAATATTCACGTCAGGGGCCAAAGCCCAGGGGCCAGGGCGTCTCTCCCTCTCCATGGCCAGCCTTCAGGATTCTCTTCCCGCCTTCAAACATCTCTGCAGGCTGCTCCGCTTGAAGCTTCTCTAGCTGAAGGCACTTCTTCAAAGATTGTGTCTGTACCCCAAGAACTTAGAGGGCTTGGGCTGAGGTGTCCAGCACACTGCTGGAACTGAAGAGGGCAGGAAGCACCCAGGACTTGCAGCCGTGTCTGCTTGTGAGAGAGCAGGTGTGGGGTTTGTCCATCTGGGATCTGATCAAGCAGCCAGAGGGCACGGGTCAGGACGTGCTGGTACCCAGACTTCCCACTCTCTGCGAAACATGCCTTTGTGTAGCTCCCTGGGACTCAGCTGGATGGAAGCTGGGACACTTTTGTTGGGTTTTGGGGTTCCCCCCCTTTTGCTCCAGGATTCGCCCTCAGGCTTCTTCAAATACCAGGTCTCTTCATGTGACTATTTCATGAGAAACAAAAGAAAAGGATTGATTGGATTTGGGTAGCGTACTCATCTTTTGAATCCTTGCACGTAGATTTCCCCTGAGTTTTCCATAGAAAAAAGGACACGTCAAAGCCACTGGCTGCATCTCTAGCCAAAGCTTGCTTTCCGACCACTTCAGACATTCTCCAAGAAACTCCACTTCTCGTCGGAAGAGAACCCCTTGGCTGCCAGTGCTGGAAACAATTGCTTTCAGGAATTGAATGCATAATGGGAGCTCCCCAGGAGCACAAGCTCTGGGCCTGTGCAGGTCCCCGCAGAGTCAGGTGGGTTCAGATGTCTGGTCGGGCAGCTCGCAGGCTGGCCTCCCCTCAGAATGGATCTCTGTGCACAGTGTCCACTGTGATGTGGCTTGCCGACAGGCAGCAGCCCACCCATGCCCTGACTCAGATCCCCCCCTGCGTGGGCTCCAGGAACAGCTCGTGTGCTTGGTCCTGGAAGGAGAGCTGAGTTCTGCCTGAAACTTTCTGGGCCACTTGGCAGAGTGGTTTCCCATTCCTTGGAAATGCTGGGAACAGTGGCAAGATGGAAGAATGTCTCGAGACTGCTGGCTCACAGCCCCAGGTGGGAACCCCACTCAGGAGGCATGGCCTCTGCAGTATCTTCCAGAGAAGCTGTCAGTGAACCAAAGCGCTCAGGTCAAGGCCCTGAACACCAAAGCCGAGGAGGACATCCGAACCTCCTCCTGCGTGACTCCCACAGAGACGAGGCTCCTCTGGAGGGAGGATTTCTTGCCCCCTCCACTTGTCCAGCGTGGGGCAGCTGTCCTTGCTCCCCCTAAGGCGAGGTGCACCCTGGAAGAGCATGGAGGGCTCTGTCCTGGCCCGGCTGGGACAGCTGAAGGAGCTGCGTGTCCGGAGCGCCCCTTTCAGGGACAGACCCCTCTTTCTCTCGCAGACGCGTGGGAGCAGCAGGCAGCAGAGAAGCGTGATTGGACTACAGAGATGCTTCGGGGGCCTCACTCGGATGTGTGTGTATTTATTTGCAGCACTCGGTGTGTGTGAGTGTGTGTGTGTGAGTGTGTGTGTGCGCGTGCGTGCGTGCGCGTGTGTGTGCGCGTGTGTGTGTGCGCGTGCGTGCGTGCGCGGCCCTTCCCTCGTGAGGTCCCTTCAGCTCTGCTGCCACGGAGTCCTGATCTAGTGAAGCCCTTTACTGCTCCATCTCCCTGCCCTTCCCGGTCACTTGTCATCTTAAGCACACGGTTTACTCCTCCACCCCGACCACAGCCGCCACGGGGTCTTTCTTACGCGCCTATGCATGTGAGTAACATGTAGTGATGGAATTCTGCTTCTTACAGAAGTATTACCGAAGTGTATTCTTTCCAATATTATTTGGTTTATTATACAAATCTTTTTATACATGCAGACCTGTCCTACCCGTGCCCATCAGTACTGGCAGACACAGGCCTCTCCCTCTGAGGGCCATTCCCCAGAGTGACCCCTCATGGAGGCCTGGCTCCAGCTGGCCACCTGGGGCTGTTTCACTCGCCCACCATCCCAGACCATTCCGGGACATTTGTCATGACTTGGTGTTGATACTACTTTTTGTCCTCAAGAGCTGTGGGTGGGATTGTATTCACCTGTACCTCCTTAGTCCATAAGGTATGTTACGTGAGATGTGTATTTTATTAATATTTAACATCATTAAATATGGATCCACACATCTGCTGCCTCGAGTGGGTCTTCTTCCCCATTAGCCAGGCTCCCCGAGGCCTGTCCAGGCTCTGATGTAGCATGTCACATGTTGGGCTGCTTGCCAGGTCAGCCCAGACGCGCGTGGTGGGCGTCTAGATTCAAAGCCGCAGGAAGCCAAGGAGGCTGTTGGCACAGTGTGGTATGCGTTGGACTGTTAACCGAAAGCTCAGCAGTTTAAGTCCACCAGCGGCTCCGTGGAGAAGGGTGGACAGTCTCCTCCAGTCAGTATGTGCAGCCTTGGAAGCCCGCTCATCATGAAATCAGATTTCATAGTGGACACAGTGAGTTTGGGACACTGTGTGGTCCTGGGCATTGCCTTCCACAGTGTTTGTGGGGGCGCTGGTGGGAACAGGAACCTCCCATTGACGTGATGAGAGGGGTCAGGGAGTAGCAGCAGCTGGGACCAGCCTATAGGACATTGGCACCCTGTCTGTGTCCATCCAGCTCAGGACCTGGCAAACCAGGAAGATGTTCTTTCTCCCAAACGCAAGTATAGATCCCTCTTGGGTTGTGTCCCCAAGGGAGGTCACCTTGTCCTTCCCAGGAGCTGGTGGCCAGCCTGTCAGCCCTGCCTGGGGACAGTCTGCGTGCTTGGGAGTGGCCTTTTTGGGTTCCTGGGCTTCTAAAGTTCAGCTGAAATTTGCTTCTGGAGGAGCAACTTGTGGATACCTCACCGAGGGAATATTTTCTGTTCTCAAAGCCCACCCACCCAGAGGAAGAACCGTCCAGTCCTAGGTGATGGCTTGGAAAACTGACCTCTGATCTGACTTTGGCCATCAGCCCCAGGAGTTCATGGCTGTGCACCCTGAACTTCACCTGTCAGATCAGCCCCTCCCCATCATCTCCCTCCCTGCACCCCTGCCTGGCAGCTCTCAGGACAGTCATGGCACTCCTGGGCTCCCAAGGTCCATGAGGCTGCTGCCCCAGAGAGCTGAGGGTGTGAGAACCAAGCCCATGGCCACAGAGCCGGAGCCTCAGGCAGCTGCCTGGCCGTATGGAGACCAGGACTGGCAGGGAGCTGACTTCGTCCCCACTGGGTGCAACACACATGGACACCTGATGGCCTCTCCAGGATGGTAGCCAGGACTGGCTGGCTGTGGGCCCTGCCCTGGTCTGGGGCTTGGAGGTGCAGACACAGAAGTAGTGCTCCTTCAAGCCTGGCCAACTCTCTAGCACACACAGTTACTGAAGGTCTGGGGCCCCTGGTTTGAACTGGACTTCAGTGTTTAGTTTGGGAACATACAGAACTCAGTGGGGAGGACGGGGCTGAATGTCATGGTAGAAGGTGAATGGTGAATGGAAGGTCATGGGTCTGGGAGTGCTGGATTTCAGACACAGGTAGGACAAGGAACCCTGGTAGCATAGTGATTTAAGTGCTCAGCTACTATCCAAAAGGTTGACTGTTCAAACCCATTAGCTGCTCCCTAAGAGGAAAGCTGAAACAGTCCTCTGTGCAGATGGACAGCCTTGAAAACCCTATGGGACAGTTCTGCTCTGTCCATGGGCCACTGGGAGCCAAACTTGGCTGGACAGTGGTGTGGTTAGTGCGTTTGGACCGGGCACAGGGGTGTAACGGCTGCAGCAGCCTCCATGACTACAAGAATTGCCCTTCGCTGAGATGGGAAAGTTGGGGCTCAGAGAGGCTAGGCAGCTTCTCCAGGGTCACACAGCTGCCAGTGCTGGAACCAGTGCTGGAACGCAGCAGGCGTAGCCACCAGAAGAAAGGTGTGTATGGGACAAATTGAAGACCAGCCTTGAGGGGTCCAGTCTGAGGGGAGATGGGCTGGGCTGGACCAGTGTCCCCAGCACCTGTGATTTACAGGTCTCGGGGGAGCTGGGATAGTGGAGGACCTGACTTGACATCCTTTAAACACTGTGTTTTCACTTCACATATTTCAAGCGCATGTGTTGGTGTGCCTGTGGGCAGAGGGGGAGGGCCAGAGCCGTTACTCTCAGCGTGAGTGTGCTGATGGGGTTCTGGGTCTGCGTGTCACGGAGGATCAAGCTGATTTCAGCGGTGGGTTCTCCATGGGGGCGTGAGAACACAGGACACTGACAGGGCAGGCTGACGTCAGGGCCCGTGTAAGGATTTCCCCCACAGCCACAGCCACCTTACCCTGGTCTGAGTCAGAACAGGCCCCACAGTGACGAGTCTGGATTTTTCCGGGTCCGCCGTCTCTGCTGGGGGGGGGGTGGGCCTCATCTCTTGGGCTCATACTCTGTTTCCACCAGAAAGTCCCCAAGGGCGACCCAGGAATCCTGGGGGCTCTGGAAACAGGGTTTCTTCAGCTGTCATTTTTATGTCTAAGTATTGATAGATGCTAAACAATGGAAGAGCTCTGGGACTATTAGTGAGATCTGAGAATTACTGGTTCACTCCAGGCTCTGGTATCCTGGTCTGCAGGAAGTGGCACTAACAGTTGACAGTCCAAAGGCTAAGCCTCTGGTGGTTCGAATACATCAGTGGGTCCTTGGGCAAAAGATGGGTATCTCCTCTCGTGCTATTTATAGCCTAGGAAAGCCATTTGAGAATCAGTTATGTGTCAGTTTCAACCCAGTGGGGATGAGTTTAAGCGTTTTTTGGTCTATGTAATATTTGTCAAGAAAACAAAGATACTCACCACTGGGCTAATTGGTAGCAACAGGATGGATGGAGAAGAGATTGAGATTACTAACAATTTCAGCTTGCTTGGTTCCACAATGAACACTCTTGGCACTAGCAGCAGGAAATAAAAAGACTAATTACACTGGGGAAGTCTGCTATAAGGGACATCTCCAAAGAGCAATAATTATGTCAGTCTAGAGTCTAAGGTGTGCCTCATCCAGGCCATGGTGTTCACAATCACTTGCTATGCATCAGAGAACTGGACAATGACTATGGATGACAGAAGAATTGATGCCTTTGAGTTGTGATGCTGGAGAAGAGTACTGAACATACCATGGACCACCAAGAAAAAAACCCCACAACCGAACAGGTCTGTCCTGAAGAGGGTGAAACCAAGTTTCTCCCTGGAAGCCACAATTTTGAAGCTCTGTCTCACATACTTCGAGCATCTCGCCAGGAAGGACCAATCCTTGGAGAAGGACATCAGACTTGGAACAGTGGAGGGACAGCACAGGAGAAGGCGGCCTTGGATGAGATGGATTGACACAGTAACTGAGGTAACAGGGATAGGTGTGTCAGAGTCAGTGAGATTGGCTCAGGATAGAGTAGGGCTCGGAGCTGTTGTCCATAAGGTCACTATGAGTCATAGGCGACTTGATGGCAGATAATAACAACAACAACAATATTTAATGGAATCCTGTTTTCACTTCATAAGCAGACTTGGTGGAACAGTGGTTGATAAACTCAACTGCTAACCAGGTCAGTGGTTCAAACACACCAGCTGTCCCTCAGGAGGGAGGCCTGGCAATCCACTCCTGTGAAGACCCAAGCCTTGGAAATCCAGGGGGCAGGTCTACTCTGGCCTTCAGCGTTACTGTGGGATTGCGTTTCTTGGGTTGGTTGGTTGACCACAGGAACAAGAACAACACGTATAAAAAGAATTGGGGGCAAAGACAACTGATGAGGGTCATTCTGTGGTGATGGAGGCAGACGCACCCTCCACTAGAGAACATTTTGCAGAATGGCCACACAGCAATGGCAGGACACAACCATGTGGGAGACATGGGAGCCTCCGTCAACCCAGAGGCTGGACAGGTCAGCTGTGGCCGAGGTGATGAGCAGTAGTGGGCTGGTCGTTGACGGGCCACAAGCAGAGCGTCAGGGGTCTTGTCTGGCCCTCCACACATGCCCAAGAGGGTGCTGGACACAGCTCAGAGGGGCCAGCGCGTGGCCAGAACCCCTCACTCTCCAGCTCACCTCCGTTCGTCTGTTCCCTCAAAGGGGCTCCACTTGGCTCCTTAACCCTGAGTCACTGAACTCCCAAGGTTTCCAAGGAGGCCAGTGGGAATGCAGAACATTCTAGAAAGCGTACCGGCTGACTGAAGCCTGACTGAGGTCAGGGTTAGGGCTAGTTTCTATGATCATCCTGTGGTGGTGGGAGCAGAACTGACCCTAGACGCTGGACCTCCTCTCCCCATCCCTGTTGGGTGTCCAGCCTCCAGAGACAGAAACCCTTATCACACCTCCTAGCATGCCTCCTTTCCACCTTACCCCAACATGGACACCAGGAAGCAGAGCTCCCCAAGTGTGCTGCTGTCCTGGGGAAGCCCTGAATTATTTAGGGAAAAGTGGGAGGCAGGGGCCTGGCTGCTTCAGGGCCCTCAGATGGACAGGGGTTTTCTGGGAACCTCACCACCCCGCCGGCTGCCCCCACAGGCCCGGTGGCGGTGGAGGAATGGGGCGTGCCTGCTCCCCTCCTGGGAGCTCTGAGGGGCAGCTGGCCCTCCTGTGTCGGCCCCACATTTCCATGGAAACCACTTGTTTTCTCCCAGCCCGCATGAGATAATGCAGCCGCTTGCCATGTCCTGCTTTTTCAACATAATGGAATTCAGGAACATTCCAGAGCTGGGCCAGCCCCCACTTTAAGAGGCCAAGACTGGCCGCCCGAGGGGCCCTCCATATCTGGGCAGAGGTCCCTACACATCCCTGCTCCTCCGCCCCCTAAAAGAAGACACAGCACACTCAGATTTTCAGTCTCTGCCCTGACTCAGAGGGGCCCTTGGGGAGAGAAATTTGCTCTTGATTAACAATTTTAAGGTTGGAAGTTCAAACCTACCCACAGACACTGCGGGAGGAAGGCCTGGAGATCTGGTTTTATGACGATTAAAACCAAGAAACCCACCTGGAGCATTCGATTTGTTCACACCGGCTGCCTGGAGTTGGAATCAGCTTGACAGCGATAGCTTTGGGCTCCTTTCCTGGCCTTTGTTCAAGCTGTTCTCCACCACAAGTGGTCTCTCTCCCACCTCCATTCATTGGAGTCAGTTTTTACTCGATCCCTTTGGCAAGCTCATGTGCCGCCTCCTCCAGGAAGGCTTCCTGGGTGTCCTCCTGGCTCCTCCTCCTTCTGACCTCCTGACCCCATGTGCCCTTTCACCCTCCATTGCTAACCAGTGCCATTCTGTCTCCGTGGTCATATGCACATTTCTGTCTGTCTGACCAGATAGTGAGCCTCTGGGGGCACAGATACTGCCCCCAGCCCTGGGTCCCAGACTCCACTAAAGAGTTGGTGGACGCCTGGAAAGAGAGTGAATATGGAGCCAGTCAGTCCTGTAGGTGAAGACTGAGCCTCTCTGAGCCTCAGTTTCCCCTGTCTGAGCAGGCTGGGAGGAGGAGGGTTCCAGGCTGCCCCTTCAGGGCTGCTTATCTGTTTCTTGCTTTCTGGGCACCTGTCCCTCCCTAAGATGCTGACGTTCCTGAGGCATGTGGCTGAGGAGGTGTGTGGAGGGCTGTGTCTAAGGCAGGAGCCCGACTCTGGCACTCACTTTTGCAGGTGTCCAGGTGTCATGCCCAGTGACACAGCGGCATGAACTGCAGCCCGGCACTGCCTCCTGGTGGCCAACGCGGGCATGTCAGCAAAGAAGGCTCCTCATCCACCCTTTCCTTACCACTTACCTGGACTGCCTGCCTGCCCCCACTGTCTGCCCTGACCACCTCTACCTGGTCCAGGGTACCCCTGGGGAGCCAAAGGTAATCCCAGCAAGGAAGATCCCAGAGGAGGGAGGTGACAGCCAGTTGCCTCAGCTCTGCAGACCTGGCCGGTCCACGGTGTAGCTGTAGCCACCAGCCCCACAGACCAGGCACGACAGCCTGAGTTCCCACAGCTGGTGGAGGCTGGGACAGGTTGGCTGCTGGTCCAGATCCATCCAGGGCATGGTCCACGCGTCTTACCACATCTCCATCTTCAGAGCGTAATGCCCAGTGGCTGAGTAAGGACCTCTCAGCCCTTTGAAGCTCATCTCCAGCCTCCTCCCTGTTCCCATCACTATGCTCACCTGTTCTCTGGCCTCCTGTGTCCTCCCATTAGTGGCCTAAGTGTTAAGTGAGTGACTATTAACCAGAAGGTGGGTTGTTTGAACCCACCAGTTGCTCTGAGGTTAAGATGGGACAAACCGACTCCCTAGCAATAAAAAACTCACGGCTGTCACATCACAGCATAACCGTCGGTTACGTTCCTGAGTCTGGAGGTCATAGCAGGGAGGAAATGCCCCATATTATCCTCTGGGGTCACTGATGCATTAGAGCCAATCAAGATGTACTAAAAATTGGCGACTGGGAGTCAAAAGTTGGGAACAATGAAGGCAGCTGGTAGGCAGAAAGTAAGGTCTTGGTGACAGAAATGAGCCTGGAGAGTGAGTGACAAAAATTTTGTATGTTCAATTATTCATAGCAAATACATTTAAAAAATAAACACAAAAGGTGACTTTACACATGGACGCCCCCCCCACCCCCACCCCGATGGACCACACAGAAATTGATTCACAAAATCTGTGGAAGGAATAGGAACATGGATTTTTTTTTTTTGGTTAGCAGTAAGATGTGCTATGGACTGTTATGTGCCGTCGAGTTGCCTGCGACTCATAGTGACCCTATGTACAATAGCCCTAAACCCTGCTCTGTCCTGTGCCAATCTCACAGTCTCTGACACACCCATCCCGATTAACCCAGTCACTGAATCAATCCACCTCATAAAGGGTCTTCCTCTCCTGCGCTGTCCCTCCACCCTCCCAAACATGATGTCCCTCTCCAAGGACTGGTCCCTTTTCATAGCATGCCCAAAGTATGTCAGATGAAGCCTCAGGATCCTTGCCTCCAAGGAGCATTCTGGTCTCACTCTCTCTAGACAACATCAGCAAAGCTCCTTTATGGCAGTGGACGGCCTTATGGTGGGTTTGAGCTGCCCGTAGGTTTTGCTAGCAGCCCAACACTTACCCCACCGTCCTAGCAGGGCTCTTCCTATAGACATGACAGCGGTGAAAATCTTAAGGGGCAGGTCCACTCCACCCTGTGGGTGCCCGGAGTCAGAACTTACTTGACAGCTGAGGTCTGGTTCTTGAGTGTTGAGAGTGTGGGGTAAATTCTGACAAAAGTGTTTCCTCGAACATCAAACCCTACCTGGGCCAGCTTCTATCCTTGGGCCCTGAGCAGTGCTGAGCCTTAAACTCATCTGATAGAGGGGTCAAAGGCACTAACTTCTCTTTATATCCTTGTGAATGTAAATGGACACCCTGGTACAAAGGTGGGCTGGGCGCCTGACACCCAGTCCCCACCAGAAATATGCTCCTCAGCTCTTTTATCTAACTTATCAGAGATTTAACAGGCTGAACAAAAGCCCACAGTTTTAATTACAAGACAGTGGCTAGAACGAGCGTTAAGACCCAGAAGCAATGCTCGTGAGCAGCTTCCTGAAGAATCATGCAGTTTATGACCATGGCCCCTCTGAGGAGTGGAGTGGTGTCAGGAAGTCCAGCAAGAAGGCACTCTGGTGCTTCTCAGAAAGTTGGAAAGAGAAATACCATTTGACCCATCAATTCTACTACTGGGCATGTTCTCTGCGGGAACCAGAGCTGTCACTCAAACAGATGTCTACACACTCATGTTTATTGCTGTGTTATTCACAATAGCAAAGAGATGGCCTGTCAACAAACGAATGGATAGGAAAACTATGATACATTCACACAATGAAATATTAGACAGCATTGAAAAACAACTCGTAAAATACTACATAATATGTAGTCACATAATATGTAGTCACATAATATCTCAGTCACAAAAATAAAAATACTGCATAACACTGCTGTTATAAAATAGGACAGACATGGGGGCACTGAGAGGAGAATAGGAAAAGGATGGATAGATAATGACCACTGCATTAGATCAAATGAGGTCAAGAACGGTCTGAAAGATTAGGACTTATAACAACAGTCTGGCACAGGGGTGCATTGTGGCACTGGGGGCAGGAGGAGGAAAATACATGACAATGAATGAATGAAAACCCAACATTACTGTAAACTTTTATTAAAATCACAATTTAAAAGAATAAAAAAAGAGAAAAATCCAACAAAAGACCATCTCTGCCAGAAAGAGTGCGTGGCACTGGGCAGCCACCAGAGGGCAGGCTGGTCCTGGAAATGCGCTGCAGCTGTTATGCCCTTGTAAGACCAGGTCCCCATTAAACCTGCATGCCCCTCAATGCTCCACTCCCTCCAGCCCCGCTGTGTCCAGCTTTCCACCTCTTAGCAAGAAGATATCTGGGTGGTGTCAGCCAGGGCCTCCAGTGCTCCTTTCTTTCCTGGGGCATCTGGGCAGGTGTCTTGGGAGAAGCACCATTCCATAGTCCTACAGCCCACTAACCCATGCTCGGTCCATCCAGGTCCTGCCTGGAGAGGTCAGCACAGTGGCGGGAGGCCAGCAGCAGTCCGTGTAAGTTCCACGGAAAACTGTGTGACAAGAGGGGAAAGTCAGGCTGGCAAGGTGCAGGAGGGCACGTGGAAGAGAAAAAGAAAACGCTTCTGAGACAGAAGCCACGTTAAAAGCACCGACATCTGAAAATACACATTCAAAGAAACCCTGTAGAATCAACCTGCATGAACAAAGACACAGAGATGATGACAGAGAGACAGCATGCACTAGATGAAGGGTTACTGGGTTTCCAAAGACGAAGGCAGGGTAAGCCAGGGGGATGCAGTCACGGGAATTCAAGACAGAATCTTTCCACAAGTAAAGGAGGGTAGACTTCCCAAGTTCAACAGAACAAATGACATCCTTGAAAAACAACCACGCGTAGAACAAGCAGGGCTGTGACACAAGCCTGGCCAGCTCCTGAACTCTAGCACAGAGACAGAGTCCTACAAACAGCGAAAACAAACAAGAGCAAAAGCATGTCCAGAGCCAGAGGAAAGGAGCAGGATTCCATGGTCCCTGGGATAGAAAAGCATATGCTAGACCCACATGGCAGTGTTGTCCGAAATAAAGGCAAATGATGTTCACCAATAACACGGACATCACAGAATCGTCTCATACAAGCAGAAATGATGTTTCCCGAGGAAACACACACAGACTGAGGAAATGTCCCTTCTCACAGTGAAAATAGCCACTCTGATGGACCGCCACATAGGTTCTTGTGCTGGTGAATCAGAAACTAAAGCTTACAACATTTAGAGCTGATGGGAAGACCATGGGGATTGTAGGCAGGCTAGTCAGAAGCAAAAGGCAGTGATAGGTCCCTAATACATAAGCACTTAGTAGGATTGGTCAAAAGCACACGCCAGTCCTTTCTGCAGGAGGCTCCAGGCTGGTGGGCGGGATCAGTGCCCCTGGTAACCTGGTAACCCCATCGCGTCTGTGTCTGGAGGTCCATTGTAAAGAGTTGAAAACTTTGTTTCTCAAGACCCTTGGCATCTTGCATTTATTTGACTTTAAGACAAAGATGCTTTGAGGATGGATCTGAAACCCTGCACCTGGCAAACCCCCAAGAGGACAAGTGCACAGCCAAGTTCAGCACCAAGGTTCAAGGGGTGGTCATTGGGTTGTAAAAAACCCAGCAAGGGTTTCAGACTCCTGTCAAGACTTCAAAATGGAGTTAAGGCTCCGCTTTCAGAGTGTTCTGCTCACACACTCACCAAGTGTCCGTGTGTTAGACTCCTACAGGCAGCAGGCATCCTTGGGCACCCAGGCTGTCCAGTGGGTGTCTCGTGGAGGTCCCTGTATAGTAGGGGAACCTTTGCCTGGTCCTGGGCCATCTGCTGGCCGTTGGTTTGTTCTGGTCAATTGTTGTGACCATTGTGTCATCCCACCGTGGAAGGGTTTCCTTCAGGATGCCTCCCCACAGACATTGGTCCCTCCTGATGACACAAAGGACCCCAGCGGAAATCCTAACAGAGGTCTGTGGGCCACGTGGTCTCCATCGGCTTGTTTTCACACTCACTAACTCTACCAAAACAGGTCCACTAAGGTGATGTCACCAGTGTCCAAAATACCTGAGGTGTAGCTGCAGGCGTGACAGCACTATGCAAGTCACCCCAGAACAGGCCCAGAAGACAAGCCATGTGTCCTAATGGGGCCTGGGTTTGGATCAGAAGATACAAACTCCCTTTGATAAAACTCTGAGGAATCAAAACCCACATCTCCCAAATGAAAGTATCTTGTAGAACAGACATGAAGGCCCAGAATCCGTCTATTATGGGATTAAATCCTGACAGCTCTTAGAACATGACTTCCTGTTATAAAACTGAATCTTGTGAATAACAATGGGACTTAAGTCATTAGGAAGACCAGTTGCTGGAGGAGGATATCATACTTGGTGGGGTGTAGTGGCTTCATTGTTCAAAGTGGCTTTCTCAGCCATTGGCTTTGACCTTCACCACCATTGGGTAGAGTGTAAATAAGTTGTGTATAGATGTATGAGTCGTCTATGACTGGTAGCACTTAACAACAACAACAACAGCAAGAACGAGAGAGCTCTGTGGGCCTGGTGGATAGTCTACCAAGCCAAAGGTAGGTGATTTTAATCTGTGGCCCTCAGGCCTGGTTGTAATTGGTTTTGGTCATACATTCTTCTAAGTGGTATAGCACTAGTCTGTCCATTTGCCATACAGAGGCAACTAGTGGTTGCTGTGATGCTGAACACTGTGACACTGATGTGTCAAATATAATGGTTACCCATGGTGGACAGTGCTTGGTGGAGCTCCCCGATTAAAACAAGCTTGGAAGCAGGAGTGACAACCACTTCCGAAATACCTTGCCTCTAGAAACTCTATGAACCTGGAGAAAGGATGAAAGTAACACAAGTGTTCAGAGCTTCCGTCCCTAGGGTCGCTATGAGTCGTCTACGATTCAACAGCTCTTAACAAGAACAGCAACAGATTACTCACAATGGAATCGGTCAGTTTTCCTCATCCTGCCAGGTTTAAACAAACAGGTTAGCAGCCAAGAAAGGACTCTCACTGCCAGCAAGGAAGAAGCAGAGAATGTAGCTCCTGTCCTTAGGGTCCAAAAGGTCCCATGGCATCAAACCCCGACCTGCACAAGAACAGCAGTCATGTCAGAGAAGACTCAGACGTCAACGTGAGCCAGAGTTGACGGGGCAGTGCTGCCCCACTGGACCAGAGCCAGGGGCCTGTGGCCAATCCTGCGGGAGGACCAAGGGAGTCACAGCAATTAGCGGGACAAAGAACTTTGTAGCACTACTCTAAGCTGCGAGGCTGAAGGTCAAGGGCCCGCAAGCACTCTTTAGAAGCAGTCTTGACTGAGGGATTGCATCCTGTACCACCTTGTAGTTGCTCCTTGGGAAACCCCATAACTGTGAGTGTGATTCTGAGATCTGTGTGACCTTTGTAATGGAGTCTGGATCCAGAAGTGGAACAGTAGAGTCGGTGTTGGACTTGATAGAAGGGGCAGGAGTGTGGGGACCTGATGGGAATTGGTTTTGTATCGTGGATGTTGTCGATGGAGACGGTTCTCCTTCCTGAAGTTCAGAGAGGTCAAGCTCAATCTTCCACGCCTCTTCACTCTTTTTGCACTTGATAAACCAGAAGGTCAGTAAAGCCAAGGGAGGCTCTCCGCAGCACAGATTGACATAGTGGCGACCACATGGCCTCAAATACAGCAGCCATTGTAAGGATGGGCAGGTCTGAGCCGGTCTAGTTCTGTTGCGATGAGGTATGTGGGAGTCAAAGCTGATTTAAGGATGCCTAATAACATGTGCCAGGAGAGACCGGTCCTTGGGAAATGACACTATGCTTGGAAGAGTGGAGGGACAACGCAGGAGAGAAAGACCCTTGGTGAGATGGATTGATCCAGTCAGTGACTGGGGTAATGGGGGTTGGAATTGGTGAGACTGGCTCAGGACAGGGCGGGGTTCAGAGGAGCTGTACAGAAGGTGGTTGTGGGTCACAAGCACCTCAAGAGCACGTAACCACCCCCACAGCAGCAGTACGCTTTCTGGGGGCTGGAGGGAAAGTGATGTGCCTTTCATCTTTTATGGCAGGAAGTCAAACTTGAAATATGTAATCATATCAACATGTAACAGCTTCAAATTCTTCATGTTTTTATAGTCTTCCCCCTCCTCTTAACTTTGAGGAGAACTTTTCATATTGCTTGGATTTTTCTCCCCCTTTTTTATGAGCAGGATTATTTTTTTAATTTAACTGAGAAGTTTCTATTCCTGAAACAGTTTTTTTTCCTGAGTTTCCTTTTTTCCATCTGGTTTGCTTCATATTTTTAAAAAGTAATTTCCATGCCTTTGAAAAGCATCTGTCCTAATTCAATGTCCTCAGGGCAAGGAACCAGCTGAGGGCGACAGCCCAGAGCTGAGGAGGGTGGGGTCTTCCTGTCCCTTCTTTTAGGGCTCTGGGGCCCAACATCAGCCCCCCAGATTTTACTGAGCGTGTTACTCTCTGAAGAAGGGCCAATGGCAGCTGGCCCCATGTTGGGGGTCAGAGCCCGCTTTGTAGGTTTGGCTTTGGGGGCAAAGGTCTCAGCCCCTCTGATGGATGAAGTCAGAACTTGGTGTCTGGCCCCCAGAGCCCAATGGGTCATGGATAAACTCACAGAGGTGAGGGAAAGGCAGGATCCCCCAAACCCCCCTTTCCCTTAGGTCTTTAATCACTGCTGTCCAGTCAGTTACAATGCGTGGTCACCCCTCTTGGGTTTCCAAGGCTGTAAATCTTTATAGGAGATTTACAATGAGTCTCTGTGTGTCTCTCAAGAGACGCCTGGTGGATTTGAACCACTGACCTCATGGTAAGCAACCTAACATGCTACATACACCACCACCTAGTGTTACTATAACAGCAATAACACAAACCAAACAAATATTCTCTCCAAGTCTAGGAGAGTAACAAGTTTCAACTCAACTTGTTGCTATTGTCAGAACTGACTCCTAGCTCCCCCTCCAGTGGGTTTCAGAAGCTGTAAATCACTCAGGAGGGAGACTGTCATCTTTCTCTTGCAGAACAGCTGATGGATTTGAACTGCACACCTCTGGGTTTGGCTGCACCATGCCTTACCCACTAGGCTACCAGAGCTCAGCCCTTTTCACTGGTTAACCTTCCCTGGGGGTTTCCATGTGTCCTGGCATCAATCTTGTCCTGGATCTGAGAGGTCCACCATGTAGGGACCCTGAATCCAAGGAATACGCCCACTCCTGACACATCTTGGTGGCGCTGAGGTCCCCTGTCTCCTGTCTCTCTCCCTACTCCCTGCTCTCTCCCTTTATCTCTGTTGCATAGAAGGGGTTCCAGCCACACCCCAGAAAAGCACCCTTTTCCAACGATTAGGGCTATGGCAGGATTAAAGGAGCTCTGTAGTGTAGCGGGTTCCGTGAAGCCACCAGCTGCCCTGCTGGAGAAAGGCAGACAGTCTCCGCCCTGGAAGGTTTGCAGCCTCAGAAACGTGAGGGAGACCCGCTTCGCTCAGATCCACTAGATGGCAGTGCTGTGAGCTCTACATTTTTGTTTTGTTTTATCCCATCCTGAACCCGTGGCATTGATTGTCCCATGGTCGTGAAAAGAACAAACAATGTGTCTTGGAGGACGAGTATCAGGGGGCTCCTTAGAGGCAAGGATGGTGAAGCCTCTTCGGGCACGTTATGAAGAGGGAGCCCGTCCTTGGAAAAATACTTCACCCTGGGAGAGGCAGCCAAAGGGTCAGAGAAAAAGAGCAAGGAGATGGATTGACCCAGTGACCCGGAGGGCTCCAGCATGGCCGACAATGAGGAGGGCACTGGGCAGGACAAAGCTCCAGGTGCTGTGTGTAGGGGCAGCTGCCAGGCACCCAACAACCAGAAGCCTCTGATCACTGACAATTATCAGATCACAGGTGGTCATGACAGAACTGCCAGGCTGCAACGTTCCATCCAAAGCACCTGGAATCGTGGTCCAGTCAAGCAAACACGCATGCTCAGAGGTGGAGGTGGAGGTGTTAAGGCCCATTTGGGACAGTCAGTAATTACCTAGTAGATGGGTTTACTCAAGTAAAAGACTCGTGAACTGGGCAGCACTGAACCAGAAGAGGGAAGGTGTTCTGCTGATGTCAGTGGCGAGTTGCTGTTTATCCACAAACCCAAAGAGAGGCAAATATGCTTATTTATGATGGACTTTTAAAATTTAAAAAAAATTATTATTATTATTAATTTTAATGAAAATTTACAGAGATTTTTGTATTTCCATTCATTCATTGTTATACTTTTCTCCCTGTCCACTCCCCACTCCCCAGTTCACTCTTTGTAAAGTATAAGAAAAATACTTTCATTGTCATACAATCCCTCTTCCCCAAGTCCCCACTATGCAGCCTTCATTCTGGATTCGTGACCTGACAGTAATACCTAATCATATATCCCTTTTAAACAGGTCTCTCCCTCATCTGTTTCAATGCAATATAGATAATTTATCTATGATGAACTTTTATTGTTCACTGTGAAATACTTTGGATTTGATTGACCGAGGCAAGTGAGCTGGTTTACCAGAAAGCGAGGTTCACAGTCTGGTAAAGACAAGTCCATAGGACACTCAATGCCATTTGAACCCCACAACTCCCTTCTGAAAACTCCCCAGAAGCAAGATGGTGAGACTTCCTGTTACCCACTCTGGGGCTAGAAGGGCCTAGTCTCTGGAGAAGGACATTTTTCTTGGTAAATCAGAGGGTCACTGAAAAAAGGACAAACCTCAGTGATGTGGATTGACGAAGTGGCTTCAAGAGTGAGTTAGAATTCCCCAGCCGTCTCTTGCTTCAACAGTGTTTGGACGGAACAGACCCGGCGACTTCCCCCCTTCCAGCCTCCGGCTACCCTCCAACTTCACCACCAGGCATAACCTCAGGACCATCTCAACCATCTCCTATTTTCGGGACCAGCTCACACCTTTTTTTTTTTTTCTTAGCCCCCAAACCTCGACCAACTATGAGCTTTCAGATGCGTCAAAATTATTCTGCCAAAGCAGAAGCTGGCATCAACCATCTGGCCAACCTGGACCTGCGGGCCTCTTACACCTACCTCTCTCTGGGATTTTATTTTGACCGCGATGATGTGGCCTTGGAAGGCGTGGGGCTCTTCTTCCGCGAGTTGGCGAGTGAGAAGCGCGAGGGTGCCGAGCGGCTCTTGAAGCTGCAAAACCAGCGCGGCGGGCGCGTCCTCTTCCAAGATATCCAGAAGCCATCCCAGGATAAGAGGGGTAAAACCCTGGACGCCATGCAAGCAGCGCTGGCCTTGGAGAAGAACCTAAACCAGGCCCTTCTGCATCTGCACGCTGTGGGTTCCGCCCACACTGACCCCCATCTCTGTGATTTTCTGGAGAACCACTTCCTGGACGAGGAAGTGAAACTGCTGAAGAAGATGGGTGACCATCTGACCAACATTAGAAGACTGGGCGGCCCCCAGGCTAGGCTGGGTGAGTATCTCTTTGAGCGTCTCACCCTCAAGCATGACTAGGGGTCTGTGGAGACCTGCAGGGGGGACCTCTGCACCCCCCTGCCATCAGCAGCAAGCTTCTCTATCCCACCCTGATGTAGAATCTTACCCACCCAGAAGCCCTTCGCCCAAGCCTTGGACCAAATGAAACAATAAAGCTTTTTGCAATGGGTTAGAGCACAGCAGAGATGGTCAGGGTGAGGGAGGGTCAGGCCTCGTTCAGTTACGGCGAGATGGACCTGACTTAATGGCACCTCACAACAACAGTGAATCCTACTCCAGCTACACACCTTTCAGTCCCTTCACCGTCGCCTCGTTTAATCCTCCCATCTTGTCCCCTTTTCACAGATGAGAAAACTGAGGCTTAGAGAAGTGAAATCACCTGCTTCACAAGGAAACCTCAGCTGAGGGGCTGGGGACTCAGTCTCTTTCATTCAACCTTTATATTTATCTGCATACCTGGAACATATTTAAGTATCAATTTTTTTCCTCCTTGCCAACTGAGGAGTGTCAAAGCACCCAGAAAGGTGCACTTTCAATTCCTCCAGAAAGGAGGACAGCTGTAGGAAGGGAAGCAGGAAGTCAGATAGGATCAAGGCATCGGGATCTGTGGGCGCTGTCCCCCTAATTTATGAGTGTTTGTGACACAACCCCCTTTCTGCAAATAGAAGGCTGCAGAACCTCGACTTTTAAAGACATGAGTTGATGCATATGGATGCATGTGCGGCCCAGAAGCCTGTGTTATGTCTGCCGGCTCATTTGTTTGCTCTAGAGCCGCCTGCGTTCAATGTACATCCCAGAATGCCTCCATTGTGGCCAGGTTCTCAGTTACAGGAAAACCAAGAAAATTTAGAATCCCAGGATAGAAAAAAAGCTTCCAACTCAGCAATTTCACTGAAAAAAATTTAAAAATGCCTGGCTTTCTAAAACCGAGATTGTCTCATTACTCATCCAACAAAGCTTCCTAGGCCTCAGCTCTGAGGAGCTGCTGTGTGGAACCTGTGAAGAGCTTTCCTGACAGAGGGAATTCAGCGACCTTCGGCGGGAAGTGGAACCCGGAGCCCTGGCTGGTCTCAGTGATGATGCATTTTCATCTCTGTGATGTGGCTGCTTCATTATCTCCTGCTGGTAAATAGGAGGTTCTCTCTGAGACTTTCAATGCAAGATACTCACCCTCTCTGTCTCCTACAATCCCACTGGCGGGTTCAAACCAATGACCTTTTGGATAGCAGCTGGCCTCTTTAACTGCTATGTCACCAGGGCTCCTTATTCTGGTGTTGTTATCTCTTGGGTTCTCAAGGGAGCCATGGTCATGGGGCAAAGACCATGATTCCTCCCGAGTGCTGGCTTCTACAGAGGGGAGAAGAGAAACAGAAACAGGTGCACACTGAGGGGAGAGCTGTAGTTACACGTCCAGGATTGTTGAGACGCCTGGGGTCAGCGGAAGCTGGAGGAGACAAGGAAGTCATTTTCTTTAGAGCAAACCGATCGACTCTCTGTGGTGGTTTCTAAGACTACAAATATTTACATGGAGCTTCTCATGACTCAAACCATCACATTTTGGGTTACCAGCCCAACACACATTACAGTACTAGAGCTTAGTGTGATGGCGCAACTGAACAATCATCTCCTGAGATTCCATACATCTTATTAGCCTGGTCACACCCACCTCCTCAAGGGTGTCAGGTACCTTATTGGTATTTTTGTTGTTGTTGATCGCCTTTAAGTTGAGCATGACTCATAGCGACTCTATGAACAAAAGGCCTGAAGGCTCTCTACATCTATCGACATTTATCAAAGTTCATAGAGTTTCTGAAAGCATGTTGTTTAGGAAGTGGATGCCACTCCTGCTTCCAAACCTGTCTTAGTACTCATATTATTAGCAAGTGCAAAAGGAGTGGTTGCAATGTGGAGGTGGCTGAATCTGACTTCTACCCACTCCATAAGGGGAACTGTCCCCTCAGTAATGTCCATAGTACTGTACAAATGACCACATAGTCAGACATGCCACCCACACGCTCCTGCCTCTTATTCTATCAGTCATTGGGGTCAATATTTGTTGCAAATAGACTCACAGACTTTACTCAAAGTTGTGAGGTTTATTAGGGAAATAGGTTGGAGAGTAGGGCAGGTAAAGAATACCACAGAATGCAAGTCCAGGTTTAGTCCAGATTAACAAGACAATTCCTCAATTACTGAAAGTCCAGGTTCAATTCAACTGCATAACTTCAAAAAGCCTGGTTTTCTCAATCATCAAGCAAACTTTATCTTAGAGCAGTCATAAGCCAGCTTTTCTTTCAATCATCCAGCAAACAAAACCTTTAGCTGTGGCCTTTATCTCCAGGGTTCGTCTGGTTACACTTTGCCCAGGCTCTGCACCCTCTCTCCATTACCCTTTTCTACAATGTGGAAAGCACTCTCTTATATTTGTCCCACAGCTGTTGTTGATGATTTATAAGACCATGTGTTCACAGTTAAGGTAGCTGGAGATCATGCCCCTCCCCACTGAGAGCTAATGCAGTGGTTAGAAAAGTCAATTTTAAGGGCTCTGACACCACAGCAAGTTAGCTGATCAAATTGCTGGGCCACCAGCACCTTGTTTGTATAGCCCCACATAGTCACTTGGTGGAAGTTAACACCAATTATGATTGTTGTTGTTAGATGCTGTTAAGTGAGTTCCTACGCAACAAAACCACGACATGCTTCATCTTGGGCACCATCACAGTTTCCACTGTACTTAAATTCTTTGTTGCCGCCACTGTGTCAACCCATCTCATTGAAGGCCTGCCTCTTTCACTAACTCTCCACTTTTTTTTAATCATTAAATTTTTTAATTTTAATGAACATTTACAGAGATTTTGGGTTTTCATTCATTCATTGTTGCACTATTTTCTCTACCCTCCTCCCCAGTTCTTTCTTCTTTTTTCCCCCCCTGAAAGTCCATTTCAATTGTCCAGTTGCCACAGTGCTTGTCAAAGCCAGTTCTGATTAATCTCCTTTGTCAGTGTGACCTTTGCCATTCCCTATCACTCCTCCCTGAGAGAGACTTCACCCTGATTCATAAGGAAAAGGGGACGGAGTATTCTCTTAGCTACTTCCTGCTGGAAAGGGACTCTCCACTTTTTAAAGTGTGATATCTTTCTCAGGGACTGGTCTCTCCCGAGACATACATGTCCAAAGCATATAAGAGGAAGTCTAACCATTCTTGTTTCTAAGAGGCACTTTAGCTGCACTTCTGCCAGAAGAAATTTGTTCTTTTGGCAGATCATGATCTATTAAAAAAAATCTTTAGCAATATTGCAATTCAAAGGGATCAGTTCTTCAGTTTTCCTTACTCATTACCCAACCTGCAAGTGCATATTGGAAAGATGATGGTCCAAGTCAGGCACAGTTTAGATTATGACTTGAAAGGTCACAATAAATAATTCACCTCACTTTACTTGTTCTCCAAGAAATATGGACTTCTGTAGGTCAAAACGGTTCAGTGACAGAGAGGACAAATGTGGTGGACGGAAACAGATGCCACAATAACAGGCTTATGTGTGTCAGCGACTGTGGGTGGTTCAGGGTCGGGCAGCCTTTCTCTCTGTAGCACATAGATCTCAAGGAGTCAGAGGCAACACAATGCTGACTAGCAAGATGTTGCTCCACAATCTGTGTGTCAGCTCGTGTTCTGTGTGGCAGGAATTGTTAAGATGCTGGAAGCCATCATCCTGATACTTCAAACACCAACAGGGTCCCTTGTGATGGACATTTTCCAGGAGAGTTTCTAGATGAAGGAAGAGGGAGAATCTCTATCAGGTGGACGGCAAGGAGCCGCAGTGATGGGCTGGAACATGCTGGGGGTCACGAGGATGGCGCAGGGCCGAGTGGAGTTTGTTCTGCTGTACACAAATGACTACGAGTCAGAGGTGACCCGATGGTAGTTACCCATCATCACGGCTCAGGAGAGCAGGTTCAAGGGAGAACAAAGGACACGTTCCCATCCTCCAAGCTAGTCTCAGTGTTATCCTCTCTATATCTGTACTCTGTAGGGATCTGTAATACAATAGCAATCATCTATAAGTAGCAGAAGCTTGGGAAGGGATTTGAGAAGGAAAGATTTTACACACATTTTTGTATTGACACAGAATGAACTAGAATATGCCAACAATCACGAGAATTAGAAGGACTGGACGTTTTAGTTGTTCTTAGGATTGTCATCAGTAGGAGTTGATTTGGCCAATATATCTCATATCTATCTGTCTACTGGGTGATCTATCTATCTATCTATCCATCCATCCATCTATCTATTTGTTGCTCTATCTACTCACTCACCCACTCACTCACTCATCTATCCATCTATAATTCTATCCTGTCGCTCCATCTGTCGCTCTACCCATCTACTTGTCCACCATCCTATCTGCCTATCTGTGTATCTATCATTCTGTCTATCATCCTCTCTCTTTTTATATAGATATATATCGACAGCCAAGAAGAGAGTCATTATAGGCATCCAGACCCTGGGAGACAACGAGACGCCATTGGCACTGGGTTCCAATCAGTGGGATAATTTAAAATGCACTTGGAGCCTGCTCCTGGGAGAGGCCTTTTGGAGATTTCTCAGGCGGTCTGTCTTCAGCTTTCAGACTCACCCCTTGGAAGGCTTTTGGCCTCTGCATCATCATAGTACAGTGCCGGGAGGATCACCTCTCCTTGTCCTTGCACTGGTTGTCTGGGGACTGGGACCTTCAGAAGAGGCAGGTCTGAGAGGAGAGGGAGAGGCTTCTGCCCGGTGCTTTTCTGTCACTGATGTTGCAGTCAGGCCTTCAGCTGAAGAGGTGCTGGCGTTGAAGACCAGC